GCCTTTAATCCCAGCACTCAGGAGGCAGAGGCAGGTGAATCTCTGTGAGTTTGAGGCCAGCCTGGTCTACAGAGCTAGTTCCAGGACAGGCTCCAAAGCTGCAGAGAACCCCTGTCTCAAAAAACCAAAACAATAATGTATAAACCATGATATTTAAGAACTGCTTCCCAGGACTTGGAGGGATGGCTCAGGTGATAAGCACAGTGGATGCTCGCAGAGGACTCAGATCTGTTTTAAAACATCACATGATGGCCCACAGGCTGTCTCCACAGGCATGCCTCGTCCCTCCAATAAATCAATGTAATAAAATTAGCATAAAGGCCCACTTTTCAAAAGACCCTGTTCAGAATGAAAAGAAGCAAGCCTCATACTGGGAGAATGAACTTTGTGAAGCACATCATATAAAGGTCTTACATCTAGACTAGAAACATTGGGAAGACAGTTACCCTTTTTTATTATTATTATTTTTATTCATTTTTTTTTTTTTTAGGATTTTGTGTGAATGAGTGTTCTGCTTGTATGTATGTATGTGCACCAATTGCATGACTAGCTCCCTCCAGGGCAAAAAGGCATTGGATTCATCTGGACCTGTAATCACAGATGGTTATGATCTGCCATGCAGGTGCCAGAAGCTGAACCAGGTCCTCTGAAAGAACAACAGCTGAGCCACCACTCCAGCCCTCACCCCACCTTTTTGATAGTGTCTCGTGTAGTCCAGGCTGGCCAGGAACCTCTATAGCTGAGGATTTTGAACTGATCATCCTTCCTCCTTCCAAGGCTGTTGTGATTACAGGTGTGCCCAACTACACCCAACCTAGGTCACTATTTATTTCCTTAAATTGATTTCCTTAAAATGAAAACACAGGTGTTTGTGCAGTGGATGGATGTAAAAACATGAATGATATAATTATGATCCAAGCTTTTGGTACTTTGAAAAGTATTTTTGCCAACATGTCCCAGATCTTAAATGATGGCTGTTTCTTGTAAGAAACTAATTCTGTGCTACTGTACACTAGTAGTTTAAACGCAGAGAATGGCATGCTTATTATTCCAGTATTTTCTACTTGCAAAATAAAAAAATCAGTTAACATAACTGACCATGGTGCCTAGCAGACAAGAAAATTCTGTTTACAGAAAATACTTGAAAGTCAGATATGATGGCATACATCTGTAATCACAGCACTTGGAAGACAAGAGAAGCAAAATCATAAGTTCAAGATAACCTGTCTCAAAACAAATCCTCTGCATGAGAATCTGCTCAAGGGGTCAGGTGAACAGGAAGACATTACCATTATATTGGATGATTCCAGTTCTTATAGAACATGTGAGTGGATAGCCTCTCTGCTGAAGTACTTTTTAATTCGTCAAAGAATCAAATTTAGACACTGCCATGAACTCAGAATAAAGGTGCATCAATGTTCTGACCTTGAAACAGGGTGCTAAAGATCTGCCTTTGCAAGGGACAAATAGTAAGTTCTTTTCCAGTGAGGCTGGTACATTGCAAACATCAGACAGCTTTAGGATGACTCTCAGAATCCTATTGGTCTACACTCACTGTAAGGTGGTATCAAATAGGGGAATAACCTGGACCAAGCACCCTTTAGAACCTAGGGCATCGGTAGTGCACACCTTTAATCCTTTGCGAATTCAATGCCAGCCTGATCTACATAGTGAGATTCCAGGACAGCTAGGACTGTTTATATAGCCTTGTCTCAGAAGAACCAAATAAATAAAAGCCCTCCATTTGGTCTAAATTTTAATGGGTCTCTTCTAGATCAGAAACATAACTCTTTTGTCTGTATAGTTTCAAAAACATAGCACAGACTGGTCAAGATTTAACTATTGCCCCTAGTGGGAAATTACCCATTGCTGGTTCTTTTTATGCCAGTTTAATTAACTTCCTGCTTGGAGAAGTCTTTGCAAAATTCAATGTTCTGTGGTTTTCTATGAGAAGCAAGGTGTTATGGAGGGATATACATTAAATTCTGTAACATATCTTAAGTCTGTAAAGTGTCTAACTCAAACTTAGGGTTAGTTGGTACACAGCCTAATTCCACCCGAAGAAACACTGGAATTCAAATTACCCAATACCTTTGAGAACACAGCCAGGTTCTACGGATTCATTAGACACCTCACATTAACAGCTCAATGCAATGTTTGTATTCACATGCACAGATATAAAAAGTAGGGCAGTTGCTAAAAGTTAATTAAGAGTGCTATGTAAGAAACTTTATTATGTGGTTTCAACTCTCCATCTTGACAGATCATTAAGACACTTGAAATGGATTCTCAATGAATTAAACTGGTAAGATTCTCCATTACTTAGAACACACATAAAAAAAAAAAAACCAAAAAACAAAATTAGGGTCTCCATACATATATTTCTGTAACCTGTTATGTAGACTAGGTTGGCCTTGAATTACCCTGCCTTTGTTTCTCATGTAGTGGAACTGAAGGTGTACACCACTATACCAGACCACTCACCAAAAAACATTTAATGTGCGTGAACAAGTGGACATGCAGGTGTGCAGGTCAGAGGACAACTGAGTCACTTCTGTTATGTAGGTTCCTGGCTGGGATTAAACTTGAATCATTGGGTTTGGTTCCAAATGCCTTTACCCTCCCAGCCATCTTAAGACTAGCCCAGCAGGCAATTTTATGCAGCTAGGGAGATAGTACATATTTTTATTTGAAATTGTCGAGAAGATGGAAATTTCTAAATAACCAAATGGTTTAAGTTTCACTAAAAACACTTTTGAGAGTACTAGTTAGCTCTATATGCACACAACTTTCTAAAAATGAACACATCAGTGTCGTCAAAGTCAGGCACATTGAGTGTTTGCATTTGTTTAGTGGGATGATCTTGGCAAGCCTGATGACCCAGTTTGATCCCAGGAATTCATAGTGGAAGGAGAGCCAATTCCTGCAAGCTGCCCTCTGACCTCCACACACCTAATACATACATACATATAATTAAAAACAAAACTCTAGCCATGATTCAATCTCATGTGTAAGGAAGATTAAAATTAACAAAAACAAAACCTTAACAGGAAAAGTTCATAGATACTTTTTTTTTTAATTCTGAGAGGAAGGATTACAACACTCAATACCTAGAAGTTATAGGTTTATGCATTAACCTCTTATTGCCCAGCCACCAAGTGAAGATTGACATTTAACAGGATGAGAGTTCTCACATGCACATCAAAAAAATTGAAAGAGTATAAAATATGGGTACTGGTCTTAAGAGATTAGGAAAATACAATCAAGTTGACAAGACTAAGTTTATTCTGTAATTTTTATTAATAAAAGTTAACGATATAAAATGAGTGGCTGGGCTTATAGTTTGCTACACCCAAGAAATTAAAAAACCACTTAAGATGTTACAATAGCTTATGACAGCAATCCTGATAGAGGCATCTTAAGTTTGGCAGGTAGGTTTACTTTGACTATATAACACTAACCCTTAAAGTTACGAATGAGAATCACAAAATTACCATTTGAATAAAAAAAAAAAGATTTCTATGAACTGTTTGGTGGTTTCAAAGCCAATCTGTAGGGAAATCACCATCCCGAAAGATCTGGAAAGTTAATCAAGGATGAATATAGTTGATCCTTCTGGATGGACAACTACCTACTTGCAAGCTAAAAGAATAACAGACTAGGAATGAACCTGAGATCCCCAAATAAATTAGTAAAAGTGCCATTAAAAATCATCAAACACATCATTATTTAAATACAAATTCAAATTTAAGTCCAAAAGATACAGTAACTTTATTACATAAAATTTCTCCTGTGTGCTAAAAATGTTAACGTACAAGACATATGTGTAAGTGTAGAGGAAATTGTGGTGTTGTTAATCATTTTTCATTACTGAAGAACAACAATACAGTGGAAATATATAAGCACGCAGAGTCTTCTAAATTCAACATTGCTATATTACTGTTCAACCAAAATATACTACCATTCTCATATAAATGCCTGCACATTCATTTTTGAAAAATAAAGTCCGTTCTCTCTCCATAAAGCTTCCTGAAGGACTGACCAAGGCCCATCCCATGCTTAACTGGGGCACTCTGCATCTTTGGCTAGGGCCTCAACACTGGGACAATGTGGGTCAACACACATCTGGTGCTTGTGCAGCTGTTTCAAGTCCATGCAGCATTATACCTTTAAAAGCTTGTCCAGAATATACCTTTGGAAAACTGAAAGAAAAAGATGTATCTATGGCAAAGTACAATTCATTCTGATTCCATAGCAATCAGTACAAAACAACTCTTTAGTGCAGCATGGAGTTTCATCTACCGAGTCACTTCCAGATGGAATTCCACTCTGCTGTGCCGGAACAGCGACAACAGTCAGCTTGTCTAATTGGTATTTCCTAAGGCAAAAAAGAAATTAAGCACTGGAAGACTTCAGAGTGAAGCCCTACAATTGTGGTTCTCTTTTACAGCATTAACAGATGAGTTAAGCACAGACACAAAAACAACAGAACCCTCTAGCATCTCTATATACCATGAAACCTTAACAATAATGTATGTTCAACACATTGGTGCACAGAACCACGCCTCTCTCTGAGGCTCCATGGAAAAAAGAACACTTGTTAAAAATAGTTCATAAAAATACCAAGGAAACAATAGAAACCGATTTCATTTCATTGCACCAAAGGATATGACACAAAATATTGGTTGAAAGAGGTAGATGAAAAAGAAAAAGAAAACCAGATTCTCCATTCTTTGTCACTTTTATTCAGTAGTAGTTTTTTTTTTTTTTTCCTTATTTTCAGTGCCAGACATGGCAAGGAGTGATTACAGCCAACTGTTATTAAAACATTTGTTCGCAACATATACCCCCATTACCACTGACCCCAAACTGACTCATTTTGTGTGCTTTCCTTCTTCCTTTTTTTAATATGCCACTGCCGCCGAGACCAGGTGGAAAGGGCAAGGGTAAGAGATGGAGGGGAAGAGTCCAGGAGGCCAGAGAGGAGGAATGCTACAAGCCACAGTAAGAATGAGCTGTATTTAATTTAAAAAAGAGAGGAGGGGTGTACCCCACAAGTGATACAGTAATGAGGATACACAAATCCCATAGCATGACTGAAGGCGTTCACTGTGTTTGACGTCATCACAATGGAAGGCATAAAAAGTGGAGTACATCAATGCTGACACAGTCTAGTCCAGTCCAGTCCATCAGGCAAGATGGTGCAAGAAGTCATTAAATTAAAAGTGCCCTTCCCTTCCCTAAACGGCTAGCAGACATGGAGAACAGCCCGGGATGCATCCACACAGCTTTCTCCATGTGGCTATCAAATGTGTTGTCAAATGGCACACTGTCAAACACTGGAAAGGGGCGCCACAATGGACCGCTCTCTTATAGGTATGAATGCTAGATTCAACTATCTCACTAAGCAGGAAGTGGCTCCTCTGCTAGGATGCCAGCCTAATTCACTTTGTCTTGAAATATGTACAGATTGTTTGTAGTCGCTACAGCAATGATGTTTTCCTTGGGGTGCCAGGCTGTATGAAGGATTTTCTTGTTGAAGTCTAGGCTGTCAACACTTATTTCATCTTTCTTTCGCTTGCCGCTTGCACAGACTTTGCGTGGCTTCAAAACTGTGCGAGGCTTATTGTTTTCTCGTGATGCTTCTAGAGTTATATCCCGCTTTGTGTTCCTGTCGAACATTCTGAAGAAATTATTGTAGGATCCAGTCATGACAACACTGTAAAGGTAGAACATCCAATCAAACTGTTAACAAGAGACTGTTTATTGTAACAGGTCAGTGACCAACCTGGCAGGAAGCACATTCTTTAAGCTTATCTGATCTAAGACAGGGGATTTTGATAAACAACCCACTAGAATCCTCTCCCCCCCTCCAAAAAAATATGTTTGTACAAAGCTGATAGCACCCAAGTACATTCCTCATCTTGGTATGAATTACCTTTATTGAGAAATTTTTGCCAACAGTAGGCCATGCAACCAACCATACTAGGGAGCTTCTAAAAGTAGGAACCTATGGAGTTCATTCTAACTTCCTCCAAAATGGGGAAGGGGAAAAAAAAAAGTTGTTGCTATGTTTCCTGATGCAAATTATGAGCTGTTTTACTTGTCTAGATAATTTTTTTCCTTCTTTCTTTTCTCTCTCTCTCTCTCTTTTTTTTTTTTTTTTTTTTTTTTGAGATGAGGTCTCATTATGCAGCCCAGATTGGCCTCAGAACCATAATCCTCCTGCCTGGATTTACCAGGCCTAGTTCAGATAATGTTTTATGAATGCTTACAGTAGACCTGCTTAAGAAACATAGTATCTTCATTAACAAAAAAAAAAAAAAAAAAAAAAATTATTGTACTTGTGACACAAAACAATTGTTCTGGATTCTCATGAAAGTCATCATGGTTTCAAAACTCCCTGTGTAGTGCAGGATGACCTTGAACTCCTGGCCCTCTCATTCTTCTAAATGGTGTGGTTACAGTTTGTGTGCCAGGAGACCTATCTTCCAAAAATCGCCTTAACCAAACACTTGCTCAACTCTTTCACTAAATATGTTCAAAAGCAACTAAGTTTGATTCCGATCCTAGTTTACCCACCTTTCTACTCGAGTCAAAGGGTCTCTGTAATGACCGTGCATAAGGCAAACTAGGGACTGGTCAACTAATACATGGCATGTCACAAAGATTCTGATTTATTCAGAATGCCAGTTGTTCAAAGGACTGACAACATTAATCAAATTCAGGGTGGTGTGTGTCCCTGACAATAAAATCGTGCTTCTTTAAAAAACAATTCACATAAATTAAGCTGGTGGTGTTCATCCATGTTTGTAAAGTTTGTATATAACCTATATTTAATGAGGAAATGCAATGCTCACACTGAGAAAGAATCTATAAAGTAACTGTTACTTTGTAGCACAAAATGCCCAGGTTATGAAGGACAAGAAAGGATTGGAGAATTCTTAGAATAAAGAGAACAAGTTATGACACCATGTCACTTTAAGACAAGAGCAGGTTTCTCTCTGCCATGCAGGGACTGAGACCATCTGGTGGGTCACTGAGCTTTGAACAGCACTAACCAAAGCTGGCTTTGAGCTGTAGCTGTGGCAGATGGGGCTTCTGTCCTTTAGGAAGTGGTGTGGGGGCTGGCTTGGGGGAAGGGGAGGGTTGTTAGTGGTTAAAGACACTTTTTGCTTTTACAGAGGTCCCGGTTTCTGTTCCCAGCAACCCATGGTGGCCCATGACCATCTGTGACTTGAGTTCCAGGATTCATTGCCCTCTTTGGCCTCCACAGGCACCAGGCACAAACATGCTTCGCAAACATGCAGGTAAACATTCATACCCATAACATTAAGATAAACATCAGAATAATTTTTCAATAAATAATTTAAAAGTAATTATTCCAAAAACTTTTTGTGCGTGCATGCATGGATGCGCGTGTGTGTATTTTAGGGGTTGGTTCTTCCTTCTCTGCAGGTTCCAGAAAACCAACTCGGGTTGTTAGTGGAAGCCTTTTTGCTGTATCCATCACCCTGCCTCCCTCAGAAAGTATCTTAATGTTGAGAGTCATCACTTCCTTGATAATGGAAGGGCACTAAGAACTGCTAACCATACAGCTATCAGACATGGGGAAACTGGCTGTAAGATGCCACACCTACAAACACCAGTACACTCTCTTCACATCTGTCCCTCCTGACCTCACATTTAGCAATGACATCACAGGTGCTTACCCTGCAGTAGGCATCTGAATAGTAATGTGGCCAGCCTATTATTAGGCCTCATATAAAACTCAGGCAATTATAATTTAAAAACCAGATAAAAGACAATACTTCAAGTTCCAGGGCTCTAATATCTAACACCAAAAAACCTGAATCATATCAAGCTTTTTAAATTCAACTACTACCACATAAAGTACCTGTAATTGCTTTAGATAAGGTCTAAAGTAACTGAAAATTATGCTATGTTTGAATCAGAATACAGTAAGCAGTAAGTGCTTCCAATAACATACAAATTGCTTCTGTGGAGTGAGTGGCATGGTTACAGACACTGAATTACAACACTGCATCAAGTACCTGCCAACAAAACAGTTCTCCAAACAGAGAATTAATACAAAGAAATCTACCACTTTAATTAACTGCTAGCATTATCACAGTTGTGACTGTGTTTTAAATGTTTCATGAAACATGGTCTGTGTTACTCAGACTGGCCTCAGACTCCTCAAACACTCCTTCTGCCTCAGCTGCCCAAGGGGGTGGGAACTACAGGTACACACTGTACATGGCTAGCAATGTAATTTATCTGGCTCACAAAATAGGGGGAAAGGTTTTAAAATGTAACTTAAATACCTATAACTTTCTTTAGATCTCTTATGCTTTGCATTTACTTTGAAAATCAACACTTTTTAAAAAATCATTACAGCTCTATTCATGATTACTAGGTTTATTTCACAAGTGCCTGGAAGAAAACAGAATGACTTTTGTCAATGACTTCCTTACCTGTCAGACCCATTCCAACAACATTCAAATTTGTCAAATATGCAGTCATTTTCATAGAGTGAACAAAGTTTACTTCTGAGGTATTCATGTACCTAGGGAAGAAACACATACTCCGTTTCTATCTCCCCTCAAATCAGGAACATTAAAAATCCATTTGGATATAGAATCACACAACCATCTAATGTTACTGCTCCCAGTCCTTACAAAACTCTTACATTTTCTGGTGGCACAACTGAGGAAAACCACCTTTATGGGATGTGCAATGTACCCTGACAAGTCTAACTAACACATCTGTATTTATTCAAATAAGAATGCACACCCTCCACAGGTTCATATATCTGAATGTTTGATCCACACTTGGTAGTCTATTTAGGAAGGATTAGGAGATGTGGCCTTTTGGAGGAGGTATGTCACGGGGTGGGGTGCTTTGTGGTCAGCCTCCCTCCACCTCCAGTCAGTGAATCAGATGTAAGCTCTCAGCTACTGTTCTAACATCATGCCTGCCTGCTTGCTGCCCATATTCCCTCAATTAAATACCTTCTCTTCCCCGCTAAGGACAGGGTTTCTCTGTGTAGCCCTGGCTGTCCTGTAACATGTAAGGTAGGCACCAAATCCAGCACTCAGAATGGTGCAGGGCCTCTCCCCAAACAAGAGATGTGAGGGTCTGTGTCAGGCATGGGGAAGACAGCTAGCTCTCCTGGATACTGCCAACACTTTAAAAACAAAACATTTCACTATGTTTGTTTCAATAAAACATTTATTTTGTATGTCCTAATTTTGTAAGCACCATAATTTTCTAAGTCTGCTCGAGAGCACTGCTGGTCCACAGGCTCTGGTCTGGCCTGTGCTGGACTGTGTACGTCAGTCTCACCTATCGCTGATGCCGTAGACACAGGTCAAGGATAGTAGCTGTCTGACAGGGAAAGAATATTGATCTTACATTCTACACTGAGGAGGTAACTCCTAATGCCATTGGTTTAGCATTCAGGCCCTTTATAAGTTGAAACAATTAGCCAAAAGATAGATGAATCATGTGATTGTCGGGTCAAACCTAAGCTGCGGTTCACTCTATCTGGAGTGTGCCCTCTGCTGAAGAGTGCTTTCCCTAGCCATGCTGCTGCCCACACTTCTCACTTCCATATACAAAGCAGCCCACCAAATAGCCAGGATTGAACCACACGACTGACAAAATGACGTGTACCCACACTCTTGAACAAACAATGTACACTTTACATAGGCAATAGTAACGCATTCGTGACTCTCTGAGAGTAAAGTACTACTCCGAACACCCTCTATAACAGGCACCTCTATTCCACAGATACACACTCTTCCAAAGAAACAAACTGCAAATACCTGGTATGTCTCCACAGGCCTGTTTTCCATATTCAAGTCCCAAATTTTGACTGACAAATAGTCTCTAGTCATCATATAGCGACCACTATGGCTGAATTTTACATCAGAAATAGAGGAGATGATTTCAGAAAAAAATGACCTGTTGCTGGGATCTTCAGGTTCTTCAAACACTGAAAACAAAGTGAAAAAAGTTTAGTATCTGGGTTAGGATAAATCATTTTCTAATAGTCATTCAAGCGAGGAGAAAAAAAATCACAAACTAATTCAGAAAAATTAAAGTATTTTGCCAGATTTGGGGAGATATTTCCTCACAAAAACCTCTCAAGAAACTGAATGATTCCTACACAATCCAGAGCCTTGCTAATGTAGAGTCTGCTTTGCACAGGAGAGTTCTCTGGGACATTCTACTTCAGTGGACAATCCGCCTCACTCACTGTCTCTACTGCTGTCACTCTGGAGACCACCCTCCGCCCTGCCATCCAAGTTTCCAGCTGCCCCATAAAAGATTTTCAGTTTTTTAATGTAACCAACGCCAAGAAAGTAATTTTACAACTCCTTCCCTTTGTGGTGTGGTGGGGTGTGCGTGCGTGCGTGCATACACCATATGTGTGCAGTATCCAAGAAGGCCAGAAGAAGGTATTGGGATTCCCTGGAATCCACACATTCAGACAGTTGTGAGTTGCCATGCTCTTAACTGCTGAGCCATCCTTCTAGCCTCATCCATTTTAATGCCAGTGTTTTTGTAGAGGGAGGTTGAATTCCTAGTAAGTTGAAAAGGTTAAGGAAGGAGAAATGAGAAAGAAGAGAAGAAAAAAGGGAGCTCTGCTTGAATACAAGGCTGGAAAGCTCAATCGTACTTCCACCCCCAGACACTCTCCACCTCATGTGCTTCCTGTGGAATAAGCAACATCTCAGATGGAGCCGGACAGTTAGCCCCAGGCACACACGCCAGGCTGAGTCTGAGTGGACCATTTCAAAGAAGGGCAGAAACAGACTTACATTTAGAATGCCTGTCACAGAGCGCAGATGCCCTCATGTCACATAACCGAATAGTTCCTTTACTGCTGCTGTACACGAATGTGTTACAGCTGTTGGGATGGAATTCTGCTGCTGTAATCACCTCTGTGAGCTCTTCCATATTGGCAGGCTTGATATCCACAATATCTAGATAGCATTTCATTAAGGAATCTCCACACAGAAAAGGGAAAATAACTAAGATCAAATATTTCTTCTTCATAACACTCTATTCCTTTTTATGAGCAAACCCCAGAAATGTTCAAATGTACTTTGTATTTTTTTCTTTTCTTATTGAGGGACGTTACCATACATACATACATACATATATACATACATACATACATACATAGTGTAGGATGGTCTGGAACTCTTGTTCCTCCAGCCTCACCCCGCTGAATGGTGGGACTGTTAGATAGCACTATCACACAAAAGAGTAATAAATCTTTAAATCAATTTCATGTTCCAACATTAGTGAGATTTTTTAAAATTAAAATCTTAAGTACTTGACAAACATAGCAAAACATTCAATTCCAATTTTCATAGGCACAAAAGAAATTCTCTAGAACTTCAAAAATTCTATTTTGGGATCATCAGCTCATATGATACTTATTTTTATTTTCTCATTGAATTAACTTTTTCTCAGTTTTAATTACTTAAAAAGGGGGAAGGGAGATGACACAAAGATGAAAAGATATAGTAAAGCAAAGAACAAAATACATGAAGGAGAGAGAAGATAAATCTAATATGGACACAATATGATTTCTTTACCAAACACCAAACTAATCAAGTGGATACTAAAACTCCTGTCTGTAATTTCCAGATGCCAGAGATTAATCCGCAAATCATCCGCTGATAAGTAGGTTTCATAATCACTATTGATAGAAATTGAGTTGATGTGGTAGGTATGGGCATTGGCAAATATTCTCCGTGGACTGGCCTCCACCATTAGATCCATGGGCCTGAACACTGGCACCTGTCAATGAAATATGAAAACCCAGATTCACAAAACCATTATTCTACTTTTCAGAAAACAAAATGTATGAAAATATAACAAAGAATGAATTGTTTTTTTTTTTTTAAGTCACTGATGTTGGTTCTCTTTATGCATCAAAAGGAGAGAAAAAAAAACAATCTGAACAACTATATTCTTCAGAAAGAAACAGTACTAGTTTTCAAATCATAGTTCTGATATAAAACTAGTCCATGTTTATGGTTTCAATTAACAAGGCTAAAAAGGAAAACCTAGTTCCTTATTCTTAGCATCTTTAGCATTAACTGTAACATTCTACTTTTTTCTAACATTTCTACTTTCTGAGCTCCAAATATGCTTACTTTGTAACAACTAAGATTCCAACTCTGAAAACCAAAACCAGTGATAGAATAATGTTAGACAGTCTATGTAAGTCACACCACCTTTGGTGGCAGTGAGACCTCTATGTAGCTGTTTCTACTTCAATGAGAAAGATGCAATGTCCCATAAAGAAATGTTCACCAGTGGTTCTGGGAACAGAGATAGTAATGGCATCTGCTTGGTAGCCAGGCTAAACAAATAATGACAAAAATCCAATCAGAGGCATTTTTGTTTCTTTGTAGTCAGGATCTCTTCATAGCCCTAGCTGTCCTAGAATGCACACAATGAAGAAAGACTAGGCTGGCCTCAAACTCATAGCGATCCACCATCCTCTGCCCTGCTGTGCTAGGTTTTTTACATACTTACCCGTAATGTAGTGACTGTAGTAGGATCTCTATACCTTCCATCTTCCTCTTTCAAGTTATAGCCTTCTGGTCTTTTGTCTCTTTCACTGATTTTCCATAATTTTATTGTTTTATCTGGGGGGAAAAAAATCCTGATAGAAAAAACTATCTTAAAACATTTTAAGTATGCCATTTAATAATCCACATAAAGGAATTCAACCCTCCCTCCCTATGACAAGGTTTTAGTGGGTATCCTTGACCACCCTAGAACTTGCTTTTATATCAAACTCAAACAGATCTTCCTATCTCTGTCTCCCAAGTGCTGGGATTAAAGGCATGGGCCATCGTGGCAGGCTTTTTGTTTTTTGTTTGTTTGTTTAGAGACAGGGTTTCACTTTGTAAACCAGACTTTCCTAGAACCCTTATGTACCTCAGGTACTGGGATTAAGAGTGCCCTACTCCCTAAAAAGCTACTCTTAACAACAAAAAGAATCTATGAGCCTTTTCATCAAGTCAAAGTCAGGTCTCAAACTTTCAAAAATAGAACTGTTTCATGTGTATAAACTGCCTACTACTGAGTTCAACTAGCAGGAGACAGATCCTTGGATCCCATCCCAATAAATCTCATGATCCTTGATAGCATAGGATGATTTCTTTGAATTTGCCTTTTCTCCTCTTGGATCAGAAATTCCTAAATATAAAACAGGGGTCTGAAAAACAGTGATTAAAAGCAAATCCTCACTGGACAATGGATACTATAATCCCTGTACTTGGGAGACAGAGGCAGGAGTATCTATGTGAGTTCAAGGCCAGTATCATCTCTACAAAGTGAGTTCCACGACAGCCAGAGATGCCATAAAGAAAAACTGTGTGTGTGAGTCAAGGATGTATACAATAGTCACACATATATTTGTACACACACACACACACCTCAACCCCTTCAAGATAAAAATTCCTATAATTCAAACAAAGATGTATACAATAGTCATATTTATACACCCACACACTTTTGTGTATGCATGGTCTTGGAATTAAGTTTAGACACACATAAAGTTTCAAAGATAGGTGTATTCTTATATACATACTTTACCCAGTCTCTCTAATATCAATAACATTCTTGTCAAAACCATGTATAATACTAGTGAAACTAAGATGTCTCTCAGATTTGAGTAAGTTTCCTAATTAAATGCCCTTTTTCTGTTCCAGGATCCAAATACCACAGAATGTAGTCATCAAGCCTCCTCAATCTTTAAAGCCACCTCTCAGACTTTGATCATCTGTCTTTAGGTATACCTAGACAGCTGAGAGCAGTGGTCCCTTAATGTGCATCCCTCTTTGATGTTTGGAAGAACACAATGGTGAAGTGACCTCTAAGCTCATTACACAAGGGTATAGACTCTATAGCTGATGTTACCAGGCTTCTCCACTGCACAGTTGCTCACCTGCTCACAATACCCATGTATTGTAATTATTTACATGGATTCATGTATAAGATATTTAATAATTCTAAAATGGTATTTTTATTCAAAAGCAAGACATCTCTAATGTTCTTACACAAGCAAAGTTTTAAAATAACTCAGAAGCCATTTTATAAGTAGTACAAAGTAAAGGCTACTGAGAGACACCAGTAACAGAGTAGCCATTTCTATTGCCTGCTTACAACACTTGATACAAGATGAAATGTAAACATAAAAACTGATGGCTTCTAAAAATATAAAATGGAAAAAAGAAAGCATCTTCAAATAGTGCTGGCATAACTGGCCGATGACATGTAGAAGAATGCAAATAGATCCTTATCTATTGCCATGCACAAAACTCAAGACCAAATGGATCAAAGACCTCAATATTAAATCCATCCACACTGAACTGCATAGAAGAGAAAGTAAGAAGTACTCTTGAATGCACAGGAGACCACTTCTTAAATATATAACACCAAGTGCAAAGGACAGAGAGCAACAATTAATAAATGGGACCTTTTGAAACTGAGAAGCTTCTGTAAAGCAAAGAACATGGTCAACAAGACAAAATATAGCTCCCTACAGAATGGGGGAAAAAATCTTCACCAACCCCACATCTGACAAAATATACAAAGAACTCAAGAAGCTAGACGCAAAACAACCAAATAATCTAATTAAAAAATGGGGTACAGACCTAAATAGAGAATTCTCAACAAAACAATCTCAAATGGCAAAAAGACACTTAAGGAAACGCTCAACATCCTTAGTCATCAGGGAAATGCCATCTTATACAGTTTAGAATGGCTAAGACCAAAAACACCAATGACAGCTTATGATGGAGAGGATGTGGAGTAAGGGGAACACTTTTCCACTGCTGGTGGAGTGCAAACTTGTACAGCCGCTGTGGAAATCAGTATGGCGATTTAAAAAAAACAAAAAACAACAAACTAGGAATCAATCTACCTCAAGACCCTGCAATACCACACCACTGTTGGGCATCTACCCAAAGGAGGCAAATTCACCATATGGACAGTTCCTTAACCATGTTCATAGCAGCATTAATTATAATAGCCAGAACTTGGAAACAACCTAGGTGCCCCTCAACCAAAGAATGGATAAAGAAAATGTAGTACATTTACACAATGGAGTACTATAAATGGACAGAACTAGAAAAAGAAAAAAAAGATCCTGAGTAAGTAACCCAAAACCAGAAAGACAGGTGACAATAGTGTGGCTTGGGCAGTATATGAAGCCACTGGTGGGACCAAGATGTAAATATAATGCATAAACTGACTTTGTGGAGCCCATTATCTATGGAGAGATACCTTGCTCAGCCTAGACATTGGGGGAGAGGTGCTTTGGTCCTGCCTCAATGAGGTGATGGGACAGACTTAGGAGACTTCATAGTAGGGGAGGCCTTACCCTCTCTGGGAGGCAGGTAGGAGGTGGAACAGGAGGAAGAAGGGGAGAGCAGAAGAAGGGGAGAGCAGGAGAGGAGGGAGGGGTAACTGGGATTGGAATGTAAAAAAATGAAAAGAAACAACAACAACAAAAAAAGCCTGCTAGCTTCAATAACTTACAATCTACCCCTAAGTTCTGGTGTAGACGCTTGTTTGTAATTCTCTCATAGCCCTATGTGTTCCCTATGCACTATTTACTTTATAAACAGATGATTAAGAAATGGATGCTCAGACACAAGCCATATACATACTTTTTTTTTCCTTAGAAGATGTAAACATAAGCTTAGAAATCCCCTTCTAAAGATGAGGATAAATGCACCCCCCCCCCCTTCAGCTGTCTTCAGCCTAATGAAATTTATCAACCCTATAAAGGTCCAGACAGGAAACCACAACATACTTACCATACTTTCAGATAGGATGAATTAGTTAATGCTTTTTACATTTACAAGGGAAAACAAAATGACACCAAAAGCCCTCTAAAGCAAACAAAGCACCCTAAAAAAATTTTGATACTCTTTTTAGGCATTTTTATTTTTTAGCTATGAAGTTTGTGATTTAGAATTCTAAAAATAATGTTTGTTTCAGTGATAAAATGCACAATACTGAAGTACTAGGATGGCTGCATGATCTCAGTGTAGTGCTCTGGGGAGCAGGCAGATGGGAAATAAATTACCATATGAAAATCAATTTTACCTAGCATTTCTGCCCCATAGTAGGTGTGAGAATGACCAACTCTACAGAAACAGACCATTGAGTGTGATGTTATACCTCACTGGAAAGGACCAGTCATCTCAAGTTCTCTTCTTCCTAAAATGTCTATTTCTCTAAACTGCCAACAAATAACTCATGTGTTCCACCAATCCAAAGGTCTCTCTAATTCCTCTGATCAAGCAAAGGCTCAGAGTAAGGAAAACCAAGTGGAAAAGTTTCTTTTGTGGAAATGTAGCTCTATATGTGGCTTAAAATTTCTTGCCAGAAACTGTGAGAACATGTTCTCATGTGGCTCATATTCAACATGGTGATCAGGTATCCTGGGCATAGAAGCATTACCAGGATTCAGGGAGAGGCAAACAAAGTTTGTTTTTAAATTTGAACTTAATTTTAAGTGTATGGGTTTTGCTTCTATGCATATTATATGCACCATGTATATGCCTGGTGTCCACAGCATCCAGAAGGGGGTACTGGATCCTTTGGGATAAGTTAGAGATGGTGTGAGCCACCATGTGGGTACTAGCAATCAAACCTGGGGACTTTTAACCACTGAGCCATCTTCTAACCCAACGATTTTGTCTTTAAAGAACATTCAAAGAATATAGACAAGATGCAGTTATTCAAAGTAATGTCTATTTATTTTGGGGGAGGGAGTAAACAAGAACTATATACTATGGATGATGACATTTTCAAAATGCTTTTTCTCCCTCAAAGCGTTGGGTGTAGCTCAAGTCTTACTCTTCCTATACCTCCAGTATCCATTCATACTCAAGACACAACAGTTTAAAAAATGCTGATCTTTTTTAATACTATCACATATACACGCAACTTTGTGAGATCACTTGGTTCTGTCTTATTTAGAAAAATGGCAATAACAAAAGAAAATTGCAATCCATGGCCATCACAGGCTCATATATTCAAATGCTTAGTCACCAAGGAATGGCAGTGTTTCAAATGATTAGGAGGTATGGCCTTGTTAGAGGAAGTGTATCACTGGGGGTGGGCTTTGGGGCTTCAAAATCCCATGCTCAATCTGTTTCCTGTCCACCTTCCTACCCACAGCTTGCAGATGAAGATGTAGCTCTCAAATACTTCTCCAGCACCATAGGTGCCACCATGCCTCCCACCATAACAGACTAAACCTCTGAAACTGTAAGCAAACCCCAATTAAATTTTGTAAGAGTTGCCTTGGTTTTGGAATCTCTTTACAACAGAACAGTGACTAAGACAAGACCTTTATATGTAGTCAGTATTTTCAAATACAGGTACCCAGTGTTTAGAGATACTGCCCACTGTCTACAGATACAGACTATAGACCTACAGACCCTTGGTCTAGAGTCATGGAAACTCATAGTTGCCTCACCCCCAAATAGCCCCCTATTTGGTGCTTGGTGCCTAAATTAAGGCTCATTACAGTTGGACATAGTGACTTACATCTATTAACTCTTATCTCAAAGTCAAACAAAGATAGTGCTTATTTTGGTGACACTTCTGCTAAAAGAGCAAAACAAAGAAGCCTATGGGACTGCATTTGAACAAACACAAGTGAATGATAACTAATGGTCTACAATGAGGAAGGGAAGGGACACTTGTGCACTCATTGGGCCTCGTTACACTACTGTCTCTGCTTCAATTCTTGAAGGCCTGTATTCGAACTCTTCCTTTAGAAAAAGTCAAAGTACAAACTGCCATGAGATATACCTTGTGGCCCAAGTTTGCAAACCCAGCCTAGGGAAGCTAAGGCTACCCCAGGCTAAAATGCAAGACTGTTTCATCACCTCCCCTACCTCATACATACAAAGTACTATTTATATGAAAAGAGAGGTACACAGAAGGTTAGAAAAATAATAATAATTGGGGGGGGAAATAGATCCCCAAGGAGGCAAATACACAGAATCAGGAAAGGCAATAGTTTATGGATAGTTCAATACAGTAGGCTACAGGGTGTTAACCTAAGAAGTCATGAGTTTACACTCTGCAAATAGAAAGGTGTGTTAAAGTTGCTCTACTAATAGATGAAAAAACGTGAGATTTCTGCTAACATGTGTCAGCTTCAAAAGTTTTAATCTAAATTTTTATAGATCTCCAAGTACCATCCTCATCTCTTTGATCTCAAGGTCCCAGTGATAAACCAAATCACATTTGGGAGGGGGGGTTCAACACTCAACTCTAACTTGTCATACAGGACTTCAAATGTTGGTTCCCACTTCACACAGCTCTAACCGTCATTAACAACTTTCCTTGTACAATTATAGTTAATGTGAAGAAGAATCTTCTTCCAGCCATGTGGCTTTGTTGAGGAGAAAGCAATATTCAAATGAAAGTCAAGGAAGATACTGTCCTAGAGATCATCCTGGCACAAAAACTGTCCTCTGCCCAGTTTAGAAAAGAGGAAGGGAAATGAACATTTTCTGAACACTGGTTCTGCATGCCACGGCACCACATTACTATGTATTCCTAACAGTTCTGCAATACAGAGACTGAAGTCTCTCCATCTGTTGGTAAGGAATATTCAACTCGGTATTCTGGATCAGCTCAAGGCCACAGGGCTGAAAGGAGAGGGAGAGGGGGTAGGAACAGCTTACATAAAAATTGGTACGCTAGGTGGGCGTTTGTGGCTCATGCCTTTAGTCCTAACACCCAGATCTCTGTGAGTTTGAGGCCAGCTTGGTCTACTGAGCTAGTTCCAGGACAGGCTCCAAAGCAATAAAGAGACACCCTGTCTCGAGGGGGATGGGGGGGATCAATACCTTAGAATTTGAAACTTGTAAGTAAATAGTAAAAGAAGATAAAATAGGAGACTTTACATTCTGTACAGGGAAGGGGTTCTGCTACTGGTTCTTCACAAAGAAGCTCTCAAGGAAAAGTCCTCTTGGAAGGGGTTATCTATCTCCTACAGGGCACGTGCCCAAGTGGATGCCTGAAAACAGAAGATAGACACTTACCATTGGTAGACAATAAAAACTGGGCAGCATTTTTCTGGGGTAACCACCTAATTTTGTTGATCTTCTCTTCTATTTCTAAGCTTTTCAAGTAGTCAAATTCTGGCTCATGGCTCTGGAAGGTGCTGTAAACATTGTATTCTCCTCTGCTATGAGACTGGATTTTGTTCTACAACAGAAAAAAAATATTTGGGCTATGTTGAGAAATATATCTAACCATAATCAACTCCAACAGACTGAAATTGTTGATAAGCCAACCAGGCAGCTCTATCTTATATGCTATTACATCGTTTTCTGTATTTAAAAGTCCTTCAAGGAATAAAAAAGTTTTACAAAGAATAAGAAGACAATGCTTCATAATTAAGTTCATTCAATAGGCAATAGACCAAATACAGACTGATTTCATTAACTTGCATATTACATAGCATTGTTATACTGCTTAGAGATCTGCAAACCCACAATAATGTATACCATCTAAAATGTAAAAGTTAGGGAGTCAATTCTCAGAAATAGCTGGCTGAAGCACATTTTGTCTGCTCTGTTATCTAATGTGATGACTAGTACTGTCTTTTCTGAAGCCCCCTTTCTATATTTCACTTCAGAAAAGCCCTTAAGGAAGGCATTCTCCTAAATTCAACACTACTACATATATGACCCATCCCAAGAACAGTGTTAGGGACAACTCTGGTACCCATCAAGTATGTATCAGAATCCTGGCCATGCATGCCTGCACCTCAGGGCTACACAGTTACTCTCCTGAGTTCTGATCACATGAACCTTACATCCTGATGCTTAATCCACTTAATGTCAGTGTGCTGATATATACTGGTTCAACTGAAGGGATCAGTATGAACAACACTTGGGAAATGTTTTCAGTTAACACCAGGAGCCCATACCATTAGAGACACTTTCATGGAAAATACTTTTACAAATCTTATTAAAAAAAAAAAAAAAAAAAAAAAAAAAAAGAACAATTGGAAACCATTGGGAACAGTGAAAAACATAATTTTACAGATAGACAATCATTATTTTAATGAAAACAAAGTTATCAACTGAAACGTTTGAAGCTGTAACCTATTCCCCATCCACATCAGAAGAAAACTTCTGTTTTCTTGGATGTACACACTCTTTTGTTCATTTTATTTTGCCAGGTAACCAGGACTGTTTAGTTAGGTATTTTTGCACATAATTATTGTTGAGTGGTTTGACTGATGTTAAGGATGCAGAGAGTACCAGGAATATACCCAACTTTGGGGGGATGCTGATGTGAAAGTCAATTTTAGTGTTTGTCCCACTGCCACACTCATATGCCAAATTCCATAAGATGAACCATGTACTCCGTATACTCAAATACGTTAGAAAGAATGCTGTCAGACTCCCACTTAACTTTATCCAACCAGCCTTATATGAAATATGACTATCTATAAGGCTTAAAGGGAATAGTTGACGGAATCCTGTGTGTCAGAAGTACACACTTCAATTGCACAGTGTGTAGAATAAGGAGAAACTATACACTGGTATTTAATAAAAAAAATGCAAACCTATGAAATCAAAATTCTCAAAAACAGAACCAAAACACCATCTTACAGACTCCCCAAGAAGCCACACAAAGTTAAAGGAGTCTGGTAGCTATAAACTATAGAAGTACCTTTTCCACAAGGAAGAAAAATTACCAGGGGAAATTGTATCTAAAAGCTAAAAGAAGCCACATGCCACTACACTAGAGAACAGTGAAGAAAAACTCCCTCCCCAGACAAGGTTAACAAGCACGATGGCCTAGCACTAACAAAAAGATATCTCAGACTACAGAACTGAACTTGCAGCCAGCCCTGACCTTTCTGCCAACCCAAGAACCTGTACTTAAGAGTAAGTGGCCATGGCAGCAGTGTCCTTCAATGGGCCCAGGATAGTGAAAAATACTAGTCTTCAACACAGAAGATGGCTTTCTGGGTGTCACTAAAACAGCAGCAGCAACAACAACAACAAAATCAACCTAGCTCTCCGACACCACAAAGAATTGTGATTTCACGCATGGGTTTTCTTCCATGGTTTTTTCATGTCCCCTTTTTCTTCGTTTGCCTTTGATCACAAGAATCTATTTCCTTCATCATATGCTCTATTTGTGGGAAATTTTCTATTAACAAATTTACAGATGGTTTTTCAACATCTGTATTAGTATCTGGAATACAGCAGACCTTCAGTCAAGATATCTGCCCTGAACAGTAGCAGCCAGAAGAACAAATAAAGGTGATGCTTGGAGCACAAAAGAGGAGGCAGCAAAGCGCACAACTAGCAACACAGAAAGAGCTTCAGAGGGAAGCGCCAAGATATACTTCTATTCACTAGAAACAGCCAGCACAAAACCAAAAGCACACATTTCCAATAGAGCGACAACACAAGAGAACCCCCAACACAGCAGAGCCTGCCCTAACAAGACTCAGAGTGCAGTAAGGAAGGCAAAGCCACATTGAACAGGGACAAAAGAGATGCAAACAAGGCACACATGCAGGCTTGGATTCTGACCATGGTGGCCTCGCTGTGCAGCAGCATCACGTGCACTGGCAACCCGGCCCCCATCTCAAGCCATGAAACACTTTACAGAGACAAAGGTTAAGTGAGCACACCATAATTCTAGGACAACTGTTTGCTATCTGCCACATGTTATGCAATGGCCACACACTGTGCAGCTACTATAATCAAAGGGAAATCACTCGTGTCCTCATTCATCCTAGTTTCACTATATAAACCAGGATTACCTCAAACTTGTGATTGTCCCATATAAGCCTCCCCTGTGCTGGATTACAGGTGTGCACCACAACTCTTGGACGGGATTAATGTATTGCTAGTTCATTCGATTATTCATTTTCCAGCTTTTAAAAGGGTTTATTAGTTATTTACATGAACAACTACACCACTGAAAAATCCAACCTCATCCATTTTTATATCTCGCATACATCAGCATTTCCTTTTCTGTTTGTTTTTTAAGACAGGGTTTCACATGAAGCCTTGGCTGTCCTGGAACTCCCTCTGTAGACCAGGCTGGCCTTAAGTCACACAGAGCTCTGCTTACCTCTGCCACCCGAGTGCTGGGATCAAGGGTGTGCGCCCTCATCACCCTGCTGCTCTTAATCTTTTTAAAGTAAAATCCAGTGTAATTAATCTTCACAGCCCCTGGTTATTCATCCTGCAATGGCTATAAAGTAAACGAGGCCACTATTACCACTATCACACAGTTGTGGCTCAACTCTCAGTTAGTCTTACTTGGGGAATAGTACATACAGCTCTTAAACCAGGCACCCTGAACTCCTAGACTGCACACACTCAACTCTACCACATTCAAATCTCATTTGCAGAACTCCAAAACTTATCTTCATTGTAATAGTATCTAGTAAGAATAAGTCAGATGAAATCTCAGACAAAAGAATTCAAAACAGTGTTCAAAGACACAATCAAACAGCTGAATGGAAAAAGGAAGGCAATGGATGATAAGACCCAAGAATTCAAAGAGAAACACTGAAGAAAAACTAGTCTCAAATGCTGGAAATAAAAGCTCCATAAAGTCTCTGCAATAGAATGAATCAAGGAAGACAGAGTGTCTGAGCTTGAAGATAAGGTAGAAGGATCAGAACACTTCCAACTATGAAAAGAATAAAATAATACGGTACCAGTGAGAATTCTAAGACCCACATGGCACTCTAAAAAAGCAGGTTTACAACCATACTAAAAGAACCTTGTTCTAAAGGCTCAGAAAATATTTCACAGTATCACAAAAATTCTCAGGTAGAAAGAGATGATACAGGAGACATTTAGGACACAGACAACCAGAAAAGAACATCCCTCATCAAACCATAATTCAAACACCAAATATACAAAGCAAAAAAAGTAATCTCAGAGAAGCAAGAACAAAACAGCAAGTCATGTATGGAGGTAGGCCCATCAGAGTAACAGCAGAATAGCGCTAGAACAAACCAGCAAGTCATGTATGGAGGTGGGCCCATCAGGGTAACAGCAGAACAGCTGCTGAAACTTGCAAAGCCAGAAAGCCTCAGTTCTGAATTTAATAAATGCCAACCCAGACTACTACATCCAGCAAATCATCTGTCATATAGAAGAAAAACAAAAATTTCCCACAATTAAAATAAACTAAACTTGGGCTGGAGAGGTGGCTCAGAAGGTCCTGAATTCAATTCTCAGCAACCACAAGGTGCCCTCTTCTGGTGTGCAGGTGTGCGTGCAGGCAGAACACTATATATAATAAATACATCTTAAAAGAATGAAAAAAGACTAAAGCAGCGTGTGACCATGAGATCACCTTTACAGAAAGTATCCAAAGGGAGAGGAAAGCAAAGCAAACCCATCTACAAGGCCACAGGAAGAATAGCAACATTAGAGTAATAGTTAAAATGAGAAGAAGAAAACACCAAACACTACCAAAAAAAAAAAAAAAAAAAAAAAAATCAACTGTTTTTTTTTACTAACAACTCTGACTATTAATGACCTCAATTCTCCAATCAAAAGCCACAGATTACAACTGGATCAAAAAACAGATGCCACCTATTTTGAACTGCACCAAGAAATGCAACTCACCACAGAAACACACTTTAAGGTGAAAGAATGGAAAAAAATATTCTAATCACTTAGACAATAAGAAGGAAGTAGGTGTCACTAACAACTGATAAAAAAAAAAAAAAAGGCTTCAAATCACATCAACTGAGAAATGATAAAAAGCCACTTCACATTTACTGGGGAGACAACCCATCAAGGGAACAATAATTCTAAAATTGTATGTCCCAAACACAACTGCACACCCAACTTCATAAAACTACTAGATGTAAAGTCACAGATCAACCCCAACAGAATAGTAGTGGGTGACTTCAATACCCCACTTTCCCCAACTGACAGGTCACCCAGCTAAGAAAACTCTAGAAACACTAATTAATAGACATCATAGGTCAAATGAACTTAATAGACACCAATAGAACATTCATTCCATCCAAAAACCACAGAATACACTTTCTTAGGAGGCCATGGAACTTCTCTTGAGAACTGATCATATATATCTGTCTCAGACAGGAAGCAAGTCACTCACACAGAAAAACAAAAACAATTCATTGCATTCTATTCATTGATCACAATGGATTAAGACACTAAGTTAACAGCAAGAGAAAC